AGGGTGGCATCTAACTTAGGAGCTGAAAGGAAGCCCTATGGCACAGACAGCTCGGATCTCCCAGTATTCGCTGACACTTTCCACTCTTGCAGCACCTGCCTCTTGGGGCAGCTGGTTCATGCCGTCTAATATTAGGACCCCATCCTACGCACACTCGTCTCAGTATTGTTCTTGTCAAACAGATTTGACAGGATTTTCCAATACTTTCATTATTTTTAAGCCCAATAGGAACAGAAACAAAAAGTGTGCATACCTCATTAACACTCTCTGGGAAACAGCTCCTAACTCTGCACAGGACTGCTGCCTATGTCAGCTGATCTGCAGGAAATGCCCCCTTTATGTCAAAGTTATTCCACTGTTTTTATTATCTACCACATTCTGCTTCTTGCTGTGCTACGCATCAGATCCACATTAAAGAAGATCTTCTGCCAAAATGTTAGACTGAATATTCTTGCATTGCTTAAAAATAAAATTGCTACCCTGCCCACAGGGTTTCACTTTATGAACTTTACAGGTTAATATATACTAAAAAGAGCCATATGTGATAAGTTCTGTTTGCAATTGATGATCAGCAGGCAATCAAGAAGCATTTATCTATGCCATGTGATTGTTCGTCACCAGGTTCCATCCGAACCACGTCTTTGGAAAACTAACAGATTTTAGCTTCTAATGACAGGCTATCTGTAATGTACAGTTTGGGCCTCAGTTCAGTCATCTGGAATCTCAATCATAGGATAAGACTCACATGGGTGGGTGGGTGTCCATGATTACCCTCAAGAAATTTCTGCCGGATGGCTCTTTCCTAGACACAGTGGGTCCATGTGATAGGGGCAAAAGTCACGAGCAGTTGTAGCTGCCAAAACTGTGGCTAGAAAGCAAGCACGATGATGCCCAGGAAGTCTACTATCTTGCACTGGCATCAAGCGGCCATAAATTGAGGGCATCTATTTCAAACTACCAAGATGCTTGCAATTAATTCCTTTGTCTAATATCAAAGTCTGTGGTTATGTTACTGTATATTGCTACTATAATTTAATAGGGGTAATCTCGTGGTGTAATTTTTAAATTACTTTAGTTAAGACAGAAATGGCCGTTATGGCTTTCCTAAATGGTGAAGGAGAAATATTTTTGCATGGTTCAAATGCATGGTATTCATTCAACATTGCCTTGTAATGTTGAATCAGGGGGCAAAAACCTTCAGAGTTGGGAGAGGGGGTAAAATTTCAGTTGAGATCCTGTGTTTGAGAAATGAAAACGTTATACGATGTTTTCCCAAACATTGGGATTCTTCTAACTACCTGCTTCAGAGCAAGATGTGTTTTGGGGTGGATAGCTTGGAACTATAATAACTGCAATTAAATCCTTTTTATCATAGTTCTTACATATCTGTTGCCTCTCGCCCACCAACCTCCACCTTTAAGATCCCAGAGTAAGCAGGGCTAGCTTGGTGGAAGTCAAAATAGTCAAAATACAACCAACCAGAGATGACTAATCCCTGAGAAAACTTGACTTCAATATGTTAACACTCTGCAACCTACTATTTTCATGTCTGTGTGTGGGGATTGTCCTTATATGTATTAGCTGTTGCTGTTGTTGGGTTTTGGGTTGTTTGTTATTTATAGAAGGAAAACCCAGGTGTCACCACCACGTTGCTTTGTTCCTGTGTTTTCTCTAATAGTTGCCCATCTCTTCAAAGGCATGGTTTATGATAATTCTTTTCTCTTCCACACTACATGCTACATCCAGTTTAACCCTAACCAGGAGAAGACTATGGAAATTAATGGAATCAGTAAGGTAAGATTAGAATAAGTCCCACTGATTTCAATAGGTCTTAATTACTCAGGACTAATATTGGATTTAGTTCAGCTACAGCACCAGCTTTCCACACATGGGCTGCCAAAGGCCGGCTGATCCAACTGGCAGGTGCATCTATCTGCAAATAGGCCCAGCCCAAGAAACAGCGTTGCCTGAGGGAAAGAGCAAGATGGTGTCCTCATCCCCATTCCATATGTGGAAGTGGCCTACTTCATCCCTGCCAATGTGATGGCTGTCTTCTACCCCAACTGACACTAGTAAGCTCATTCAGACACACATAACTTTTGTCCTCCCACATAAGAGGGGATGGGGACTCTGAAGGAACAGCTAAGAGAGCTCCTCCCACAAATATCTGCCACATGAGACAACTGTGTCACCCTGACTAAAGGTAGGACTGGCTGCCAAACGGGTTAGTAGCAATGCCTGGTAAGGGGCACCACCAATCTCCCAACCACCCACTCCAAAAGTTTATTATCAGATGTTGCTGCCATGGGGTGGGGTTGGGGGGGGTCAAGAGAAGCAGAAATTGTCCCCTCCACACCATTTTGGCCCAATGGCTGCTTACAGAAGCCAGGGATCTAATGCAGCTCTTGGGTTATAATTCTGGAACAATCTTTGCTTTCTTTCAGTTTCTTGAAGCCACTTTCTGCTCTTCCTTTGCTCTTCCTAGAACAAGCAGAAGATTAGGCTTTGGGAAAAGGAAGTGATTGACATCATACCCTCCATGGAAACGGGAGGGGAGGAGGCAAACACACAAGAGTACTCTTGACTTGGGATGTGGTGGCACTGCAGGTTAAACCACAAAGCCTCTGGGCTGCAAGGTCGAAAGATCAGCAGTTCGAATCCATGCAACGGAGTGAGCTCCCCGTCACATGTCCCAGCTCCTGCCAACCTAGCAGTTCAAAAGCATGTAAAAAGACGAGTAGATAAATAGGTACCACCTTGGTGGGAAGGTAACAGCGTTCCGTGTCTAGTCGCACTGGCCACATGCCCACGGAAACTGTCTACAGACAAACACTGGCTCTACAGCAGACCTGGGCAAAGTGCGGCCCGAGGGCCACATACAACCCGCGAGCCGCTCCTGTCTGGCCCGCGGACAGTTTTGAACATCAAAACCATTTATAGCTTTTTGTCTAAAGTTAATCAGTTGCTTATGTTTCACATACCGCAAAAAACTCTTTAGTATTTGTGAAGATTAACAAATTTAAAATAAAAACAATAATAGCATCACTGTTTCATTTTATTTTTAAGTAAAGTTGGTTTGGCCCCCGAACACAGTTCAGATTATTCATGTGGCCCCCCCTATAGAAATTAATTGCCCACCCCTGCTCTACAGCTTGGAAATGGGGATGAGCACCGTGCCCTAGAGTCGGACATGACTGGACATTTACCTTACTCTTGACATAGAAGCCAATGAGATTAAGAATTAAGTCCTGAATATCGTCTTGGCAGACAAGCATAAAAGACCACAAAGAGAGAGAAGTCTGGCAGGTTGTGGAGAAAGGCTGCTTTGAACTATTTTGCCTGCTATGCTGTTTGTGCAGCTTATGTCTGGGTTCTTTCAGACCTGGTTTTGTCTGTGTCATCATTCTGCTTCTAACATAAATTTTTAGTGGGCTCCAGAAAAAAAAAAAAAGAATCGCTAACCCCAAACCCTCCTGTGCCCTCTGAGTGCTTCTTCAGTTTTTATTCTTAACATGCGCGCATGCATGAACAGACACAAATCCAATGGTGCTTTTCCATCAACACTGGAACTGTCCCCTGGGAAGAATCTTGGGGGTTTCCAAAGTTAAACACCACAGCAGGCATACGTATGATACAATTTACAAGCCTTTTCTGTTTTACTCTAGCACAGACACACGTGGTTTCAGTCTAGACTGGGACCAGCAAGCATGAATGTAAGAAGTTTAAGTATTTTGGTTTTTATTCTCCCCCCAAATCAATCCTGACATAGGGATTTTTTTCTTTCTTTCAAAAACATATCACTGGCGCCAAACCACAGGATTCACATTTTTCAACAACAACAACAAAAACTGATAGGGAGAGTGAGGATCAAACCTGCCCCACTGGCATGCACTGGTCCCAGTTCAGATCTGTGTCATCTATATTTTCTCTAGGAGAAAAAAATTGTTCACTAATTTAGATGGTGTGCTACGTGTTTAACGCCACACTTGGTCTGACCTCATTGAGAGCCACTATGAGATATACTCCTCCTGCCTACAATCTGAAGTGGTCTGTTGAACAAAACCTTGACTCTTTGAGGCTATGATTCCCACCCCAGTCAGTGGATCTCAAAAAGGAGACAGCCGAGCCATGGCATGCCAACCTCCTTCCTTAAAAAAACCAAGTCGAGCATATGGCCACCCAGTGGATCTCAAAAAGGAGACAGCCAACCCATGGCATGCCAACCTCCTTCCTTGGGAAAACAATGCTGCAGAGTACTCACTAAAATATACAGCCGTGTCACATGAAGAAGCATGGTAAACTACACACGTCTTTCACAAATACATTAATGTTTAAAATCAACTTTCCTCAACATGTCAGTTTTGATTCTCCCTCCCTAAAAATGCAGAGGACAGAAACCCTTCCTGATTCAATGGAACTTATCCAGAGATATACTAGAAGATGCGGAACTACTATCTGTCCAACTCTAACATGAATCAGCGAATGTAACTAAGACAGAAAGAACTAAGATTGGCATAATAACCCGGGGAATATCTAGTGGGATCTGTGCCCTTTTTACTTTCCCCTTCCACTCCCTACTCATCCAGGTTTATGACCCTGGGAATCTCTGAGGCCCCTTACTTACTTACTTACTTACTTACTTACTTACTTACTTTATTTATTTATTCATTTATTCATTTATTCATTTATTCATTCATTCATTCATTCATTCATTCATTTATTTATTTAATATCCCGCCTATCTGGTCGGTTAAGACCACTCTAACAGATAAAGTACAAATGGTTGTTCGCTCCTCAAATACGGTACCTCTCATTGTAATTTCACGAACAGATGGATTTTCAAATTGTGCTGTAACACTTTTCTGGAACACATATTTGAGCTATGGGTTCACCAGGACTGCCCATTTACTATCCAGAAATGGTTTTTTTTTTAAAAAAAATGGCTAGTAACATACTGTATACAAAATATATGCAACAAGAGGCCAGGGAGAGATCACTCACATCGCTCCTTGATGCAACTGCTCGGTGTAGAGGTGTCAGCCACATGTTGTCTTTGGCATTGACGCGGGCACCTGAAAATCAAAAGGACACCTCTTTAGCATTATCTCATTCAGAGGAGACATTTGGCAATAACGACGATAGACATCACTGCAGGATGCTCTGACTCAAAGCCATTAACAAAACTATTTCTTCTCTTCATTGAAGAGAAAGTGGGGGGGGGGGAAGGTAGTCTATTTCTTATGGGCTCTGTTCTATTAACATTTTGAGATGATACGATCCCAATAAATATCAGAAATAGTAGGTCACTCTTCATATGAAGGTTTGATATTTTATTGTCCATTTTTCTGGAGAAAAAGAAAAGTTTGAAGCACAGAATCCTGACTTCCATGCCATGGATCACTATTAAAAAGCAAGCAATAGCAATCCCCAGTATGGAGCAGAATGGACAGAATATGGGAAATAGCTCTGGCAGTGACATTAACCTGTAATGACAGAGACACCAAAGTAGAAACTTTGTATTTATTTACTGCCTTTGCCAGCAAGGAATTCTGTTCTTATATAGATCATCAAAGAAACATGCCAAGTTGTAGACGAATCCATTTTGAAATTCGTTTTAGTGCATTAAAATCTAACAGCAATGTCTTTAGTACTGCGGAATTCTTGCATAGCAGGACCCTGCAGTTTGCTATTGCTACTGTATCTGTTTTATATTTTTAACTGTATTATGCAAAATGTAATACAGACATTGTTATTAGTATTACTTTCTTTAAATCTCTTCAGAAATGTCTAACTTGGAAGAGGTTTTACAGAATTACTATACAACATAACATGCATGCCACCTTACAGTTTGATTGTTGATATTGTTTCCAGGTAACTAGGCAAACCTAGTATGTCTTTGATTAATAGTGCTGAGCAGGAAAGGTGAGTATATTGAATTGTATGTCAGTACCGCTTCCCATAAAATGGGAAGGCAGCAGGAAAGATTCAACAAGACCTAAGACGGAAAACCTGTAAATGTCAACCAGCAAACTTTCAGGAGCATCTAAAAAGTACCCTCAGCAATCACAGCAATTTTCACCCTGAACTGGTGTCAATAGCTAGGTGCCTACTGTTCCTTTGGTATAATGCAGAGGAAGCTTCTAAGCCAGGGTTGCAGACAGTTTAATGCCCATCCTGATGCCAGGGCTGAAACTCATCAATTATATATTAATCATGTCAAGTCAATTCTGACTTATGGCAACCCCTTTCAAGGCTTTTCAGGCACAAAATATTCAGAAGTGGTTGATCATTCCCTTCTTCTGGGGGGCAACCTGGGACTGCACACCTTGGCAAAAGCCACACAGCCTGGGTCTACTCACAGGAGGCACAGCAAGAAATCAAACCCCCAATCTCTGACTCTGCAGCCAGATAACTGAATCACAGAGCTACCCAGCCAGCTTACCTCATCACTTATCTGCAACAAACTACACAAACCTTATGTGAATACCAACAGGATCCCAGCCACAGTCTAGTCCAGTGGTGTCCAACCTTGGCCCTCCAGATGGTCTTAGATTACAGCTCCCAGAAGCCTTCACCACCACCTCTGCTGGCCAGGATTTCTGGGAGTTGAAGTCCAAGAACATCTGGAGGGCCAAGGTTGGGGACCACTGGTCTAGTCCCTGAAGAGAACATCCTTGTTCTATTACTCTTGTATGAGAATACAGATCTAACCTTCTTCAAAAGGTCAGGGGCTATCAATACTACTTTTATTCCTTCCTCACCTTGCCCCACCCCCAAAATTCCTACTATACTTTAAATATTTATAGTATTTTAATTAAACCATGTTTGGGCATCTTTTGGCTTTCCAAATATTGTTAGACTGGAGCTCATAGCCTGCCTCCCCACTGACTATGCCAATCATATCTGGAAGGCTACCCAATGTATTCTTCATCCTCCACAATCAACTCTGTGGTGTTTCTTTTAACAAGAACTAAACAAGCAAGGAAAGAATTGTCCTTAATTTCACCCACACCTCACACCCCCAGATCCTGACACGTAGACTGAACAACATGCCATTATCTTCAATAGGAACTTAAAGGCCTGCCTTCTAAGTCTAAAACGAGGTTTGGACGTTCATTCACTGATCGTTGGGACAGGCCTTTAGAAACAAAAAAAATTGAATACAACAGCAAAGTTTATTTCCCCTTCGTAGTTGTTCATCCACTTTACCTGGCAAAAAAGAAACACAACCAGAATAGAAAATGTAACCACAGTATTCTGGTTGCCACATCCCCTTCCTCTGCGAGCTTAGCAAGATACTGTTAACTGAATACAGAAGATTGATCTACGTCTCTGATTTTATCTACAGGTACTTTTAAAGCAATAGTTCAGAAGAACAAAAAGGATTTCAGCCCCCCCAAAAGGAAGGGAGCCATTCCATTTAGGCCATTTTTGATCTTTGGACTCGCTGGCACAGTGTCAAGTCCCTGGGCCACAGAACTGGCCACTTGTGTCCCAGAGACACAGCAGGCGAGAGTACATCCACACTCTAGCAGAGCTTGGAGAAGATGGAAGGTCCATAACTGGCAGGCCTTGATGATGCAGGCCTTATCAAGGGCCTGAAGCCTCAGCGTGTATCCCAGGGTACTGATAGGTACGAATGCCAGGGTCTTAACTACGCCCTTTCACCTCACTGAGCAACTGTGAGGCCTCTTTCTGTTGCTTAGTGTAATAAATTGCACTAGAGTAGGCCCACTGAATCAGTCAGGATTTGGTGAATCTACTCCTCCATAAATTCTGTTAATTCAAATGGGCTTGTTCTAGTTATGACTTACAACACTAAAATAGGTCACAACTAGAGTAGGCCCATTTGAATCAACGGGACTTATGGAAGAACTGACTCACGGAATCCTGTCTGATTCAGTGGGCCGTCTCTAGTCTGTCTTCCTACACTCAGCAACAGGATTTCAGCCACTGAAGATATCAAGGCTTCAATACATAGCTAGGTGTGCAGCCACCAAACCACATCCTCTCTTCCATTATGTGCCCCCCTCTGTATCCATGCAGGGGGAATTTGATGAATTGAACCTCCCTGTACACAAAGAGAGAATACAGCTGCTCCTGGACCATCCTTCCCCAAGCTGGAAACCTCTTGTGTTGTACTGCAAACCACATGGCCCTCAGACATTACAATCATCAGCCACACTGCCATCCTTCCCCAAGCTGGAAACCTCTTGTTGTGTTGTACTACAAACCACATGGCCCTCAGACAGTACAATCATCAGCCACACTACCTAGAGATGATGGGGCTTGTCATCAAAATATCTGCAGAATGTTATTGAAGTTGTCCTTTTTCAACAAGCTTGCACTAATTATTATGCATGTTTTAAAAACCAACCTTGCCCATTTTTTAAAAGAACTTTGGATGCTGATTGCAGAACTGATGTAGTTTCTCCCCCACCCCCATGCAACACTGGGGTTTGTGGGAAAACCACATCAGTTCCGCAATCAGCCTCCAAGATCTTGGATGTGTAACAATCTATCTTGAGTGCAGTAGGTCCAGGAGCAACACAACAATATGATTTACCATGTTTGGAACACAACAAGTGCTCACTGCTACATGTGAACCACTGGCAGTTCTCCTTATGCCTAGCATGGAGCATGGCACTTCTCCCAAAGCCAATCGACCCATACCAAAATCTGAATACTTGTCCATGGTGCTGAATCTAAAGGGGCTCTGTCTGGGCAAAAATCCACAGTCCCCACTCATTGTGAAACTTTGACATTAAGTACAGTAGCTCTGAATTGCAGCTATGGAGTCTATATTGTTCCTCCACAGTAGGCTATACTGCAAACAACAGTAATACATACTGCAAGATAAACTTCTGCAGCTGTACTCAAGACCATGATGGAATTTTTCTGATATTTATGGGCTTCAAAAAGATGGACTTCTTGAGGCTGCATGCAATCACGATGTCTCTATCAAATGGAGCCAGGGGTCCCCTCTTCCCTGTCCCACCACTGAGGACCTTTCTGTATGGGAATATGGGGAAAATCACTTTCTTTGTTGCAGGAACCTTGGTTATGGAAAGCCCAACCGGTACCAACCACTGCCTTTATTTCAGTACCAGGTTAAAATCCGGCCATCTGCCTGAGCATTTTGGTAATTAGGGAAATCATGGCATGATCCACAGTCCTTCCATTTGTTATCTTTTTGACTTAATCCTTTTAATTGTTAAACTCTTATGAAGTATTTATAATGTTTCTTTTAATGTGATGTCACTGGTTGTACCTTTCCCTGGTATCTGTTCATATAAGGAGAATTAGAAATACTATAATAAATAATGAAGAAATGCTGTGCAAAAAAAAAAAGAGCACAAAGAAGTTCTTTCAACAGTGAAGGTCACAGACGGAGGGCTACAGCTGATTTTCTCATGGAATACTTGCCCCCAAGAAGCAACAAAAACTCATATCTATCTATGACTGCTACAACACTGTCATAAAGATCTGGTGATATACAGGTAGGTAGGTAAGCAGGCAGGCAGGCAGGCAGGAAGAACAAGGAAAAAACAGAAAGGGATCCCTGAACCTGTATTTTAATAAGTCAGCCAATTGATCCATCGAGATCTGGAGTGATTGGTGCTCATTCCCTTGAGGTCACTGCAGACGCCCCTCCTAGCCAAGGGTTCTTCTAGACATTTTTTACATTGCAATTTAATACCATGTGGCGGCAGGGGTGGAGGGTGCAATATTCATCAGGACCACAGGACACTCTGGGGAAAGGCTTCCTCCATTCCTTCCCATGACACAGCTGCAACAAAAGGGCAGGGGTACAGAGAGAGCATGTCACAATTCAGATTTGAAAGAAGGCTCCCAGTGACGCCAGCAGGAGCTTGCTGGTTACAGGATAGCCGGGGTTATGTCCATACTTGGGAAGGAAATGGTTAAACCTCCCGTCTCTTCCAACCCCTCCCTGCAAGCCTGGGATTACAATGAGGGGGAGGGACTCCAGATGTGGTTCCTAGCTGCTCAATTAAAACATTGCCTTGTTTGGCTCGCTAGTCTTTTAAATTAGAAACATCAGGGATTGAAA